TCCCCTCTCAAGAGAAATAAGGGATCGATTTATATATTTCTGGAATGGCATGACCCGTACATAGGTGAGAGATCAAAGGCAAATGGGGAGTGGTTGGATGGACGACAGATATTGAATCCCTTGATTATGAACCGTTCGTCAGACATTTGAATGTCTTAGTGATGTCGGAATTTGGTTATATTGGGCTCGTTAGATTATTCTCGTCGAGCCGCTCGATTCGACTATAAGCGCGTAATGTTTGGAAACCGTTTGGTAATCCAAATTGTGGTTCGAACCATCCAACAGCTCTTCGGGTCCTTAATTTGGACTTATTTGGGCTCGGATTGAGTTGAATTTGGTGTCGTTAGGTTCGTATTTCCGAGATGTTCAGTTTGACTATAAGTTTGCTGAAACCAGAGTTTGGATGATCCCAATTTTAATTTCGGAATTTTCCAACTTGATTTTGCATTGAGTTTCGTGCCCGATCAAGATAATTTTTTGACGACATATCAATTCTCAGGCTTTTTTTAAATATTATGTTGATTATTTTTTTTTGGATTTTTACATACCTAACACTTAAAACTATGTTATTTACTTATCTCACACCCAAACTTACCTATTTACACACACACCACCGTAAAAGCCTATCATATTCTATTTACACACATTCCGTTGGCTCTGTCAAAACGAAATCGCGAAAACAGGGTTCTGAGACTTTTGCTTCATGTAGCTCCTCTCCCTCGCTCGATTGAAATCGTGAAAACAGGGTTCTGAGACGTTTGCTTCGTTCAGATCCCCTCCCTCGCTCGATTTGTTCGTGGACTTGCTGGTCGAGGTATGCTCTTCTCCATTTCATCTATGTTTTTTTTTTCTTTGACAACGGTTTTCAGCGCCTCTTCCTCGTTCGGTTTTCCTTACTCTTTAAATAAACAATTTTTCTCGATAGATCGGCTGTTCTTCTCCATTTCTATTTCTAGGGTTGATGCCTTCGTTTACATTTGAACGTCTTTTAGTCATATGAAACTAGCTCGGCTAGGTTTGCTGTTCTTCTCCATTTCTATTTCTAGGGTTGATGTCTTCTTTTACATTTAAACGCCTCTTACTCATATGAAACTAAAATAATAAGAAAATTTCTTGGGTTGTTGTCTTCTTTTACAGGAAATTATTTAAAACTATGAATTTCCTGTGGGAATGTATACTTGTGGTTGAAACTTATGTGGAAATGTTTACTTTTCTTTGATACTTTTTTGTTGGGTTTACAGGATATTATCTAAAGCTTAGTATTTTTTCAGGAAAAGCTTAAACATAATCTCTTTTTGGATTTGTGACATGAGTTCTAGCCGCTCGACACCATCAACGAGAAGCCAAGACAATCTAATATTTTGTCGTTGCAATCTGCAATGTGAAATGTATACTTGCTACAAAGCTAATAATCGTGGAAGGAAATTCTATCGATGCCCCCGAAATAGATCGGAAGATGATTGTAGATATTTTAGATGGGTGGACGAACAAAATGGTGTAGTGGAAGCTACGAATACATTAAGGAGTGCAGACGCATCAGAAATTCATACAAATTTGCTCCAGACAATTACTTCTGAATTACTTCAAATTAAGATCTTGTTGTTTATCCTTGTTTTGATTGTTGGCATAGCCATCAATTCTCTTGCAAAGTTTTGAAATTGTAAGGGAATGTACCTTAGAATGCGACTAAGAAATGCTTACGATGATTGTAATTCGTCAAAGTTATGTAAGAAAGCTTATGTTTTTTGGAAAACAGTTGAATTTTTGTTCTAAAGGATGAAACTTCATTCTTATGTTTTCATTAATTCCGAAGGTTTAAAATCTTGTATGAAAGCTTCAAATCATTACATCATTCTAATTGTGGTGCCCATCTTTATCATTCAAAAAGTTTCGGTAGCCAACAAATCATTCTGAAGGTTTAAAATCTTGTATCAAAGCTTCAAATCATTAGAGCCAAAATAGATTATTGAGTTAATACCAAATTGCTACAAAAAATAAAATGAAATGTTTGCTGCAACTTCATTGCTACAAAAAACAGTTTGGAAATCCTGCATCCGCAATGGCTACCGAATAATAAAGTGAGGAAATGTTTACAAAAAACAACAGTTTGCTGCAACACCAATGGCTACCAAAAACAGTTTGGAAATGTTTGAATGGCTACAAAATCTGCATCTGAATGGCTACAAAAAATAGTTTGGAAATGTTTGAATGGCTACAAAATCTGTATCTGAATGGCTACAAAAAATAAACAGTTTGCTGCAACTTCAATATTCGCAACAGTTGTCTTCATGATCAGCACGTCTAATTGGCATTTTTTCATGTGGAGCTGAAGTAGTCGACATCTCAAATTCGTTATAATTGTCATCACTACCATCATTTAAAGGGTTCTTACAGGTGCTTCTATGGTGTTCCCATGAATTACAACGTCCACACTTATGACTCAACTTAGCCTTTTTTGTAGTTTCTAAGAAGTTTTTAATTCTTCTTTTCTTCGGTTTACCGCGGGGCCTACGTGAAATTGGTGGACCAACAACTTCACCATCACTAAGTATCATCCACTGCTCCTTCCCTGGAAGTGTTCTGATCGCT